TAAATCGGTATAGAAAAACCGGTGTGAATCAAATCACGATTTAAATCATGATTTAAATCGTGATCTAAATAATCTTGATTTTTATTCTCCACCCTGGTTAAAAGTGACACTGCGCCCGACGATATTCGCACCGTCGAGGCACGAAGTACGTTGCCACTTTCGTCTCTGAAATGTCACTGCGAAGCTGGGTGTAGAATAAAAATTAAGGTTAGTTAAATCGCGATTTAAATCACATCGGCTTTGAAGATTTTCGGCGAAAAATAATTAAAACTTCTCTTTATATTTACTGTTTGTGCGCAATAGGATGCTTTCTATGGACATTTGTTTTTCATATAACTTAAAAAAGTAATCGAGCAAGGAAGACTTATATCAAGCTGAACACAAGTAAACAGCGCTGCTCAATCGGAGCATTAAAGTTTCCTCCTACCTTCCACTTTTTTTCTGTCAGTTTCGGGATCTCCTATTGCAAGCAAATTCGGACGCTAAAGAAACGAAAACAAGAAAAAGTATCGTCATATTGCAAGTGAATCAGAAGGCGGAAAAGAAAGATATTACAGTTTTCCTCATTGACTATGAAACGAAGCTGCCTTTCTTCTAGTGTGGCAGAGTTTGCATCAATTGGAAGTTGTTAAGTCAACTCTAAGATTTACTCTTATTCTTGTGCGCAGTTTCTATCGGTCAAACGAATTGATCAATTAATCTGCCATGCTTGAAACGTGTCTACTGGTAAAGAATCCTTATTTCCTAGATACAGCGATTTAAATCATATATTAATCAGATTTAAATCAAACAAATTCAGTTTGTTTGATTTCTTTTCTAAAAACAAATCATGATTTATTTCTTCCCTCTTGCCGCGAAGCGGTACACAATGCATTCTGAATGCGGAAAAGGGGAGAATATTTTGTTTTTCTGTCAACGTTTATTCCCACCCGCAGCCGCAACAGAATGGTGTTTTATCGCATGTGATTGATTGACTGATATATTTTATGTTGACACAGGTGTCAAGGCGGTTTTAACACTACATGATTGATTGATTGATTGACATATTTTAGTTTGACACACGTGTGTCAAACTAATTGATTGACAGATGTTATTTTACACAGGTGTCAAAGCATGTAACGCTACGTGATTGATTGATTGATTGATATATTTTAGTTTGACGCAGGTATAACGATAGCATTTCACTAAACAATGAGCGAGGCAAGTTAACATTATTAAAATGGAATCGGTTAGTTTTTTTCCGCGTTGTTGAAAGGAGACACAGTAATTAGGACTCCAATTTGTGGCGTCTTTTGGTGTCGTGAACTCAAGCAAGGATTGTGCGCTTAAGTATGCGTCACGGTATGCGTGCTGGTGCACCGCTCGCCGTTTTGTAACAACAACAACAACAAAGCGTTTTTGTGGCGCGTTTTTTTAGATGATTTTTCAACACTGGTTTACTAGAGCCTCCTGGCTCGACTGCGTGCTTCAGGGGTTGGGTTACATTTTTTTTTTTTTTCTGGAATCTTGTTTTAAGTATTTCAGACAAAACCCAGACGAAACCTGCAATCCAGGTTTTCAAAACTTCAAATGTCCTCCGGAATCCTGAAACCTTCTTAGCTGTAACTATACCAAACAGCGGATGCATGATTACACTGCAAGGAATAACAACGTAAACATGTAAACAAAACAAAACAAAAAAATAAATAAATAAACCGCGGTGTTTTATGCGAAGATTGCGAGCGGCCTACTGCAACGCGCTCCGCAACGCGAAACACACATCGCCTTGTGTGAACAGGTCTCCGAAAACTGTCAATTGAAAGGGAAGTAACAAGAGCTCGACCTTGCGCCACGTGCTGCCTTCACGTGTGTGTGGATACGTGCAAAGAATATGGTCACGCGATCGCTCGGGACAAACCGCTAATAGGTTTGGCAAGCACGCAGCTGCCACTCGACTTTCCACCTGTGTGTGAGCCACACACAAAAAGGGCCGGTTTCATAAAAACGCCACCAACTGCTGCAGTTTCATTGGGAAGCTTCGGCAGATCGCGTTCTGTCAATCCCACCTAGAAGACAGGGCCTGCGCCGGACGTCATGGCAGTACCGTGCGCGTGAAGAGCTCGCGCAGTCACTCCTCGATGGCTGCTTCAAAGAGTGCGCAGGGAGCATTATCGGGCATTCGAAAACGAGTTCGTAAACCCCTTAGCGTAAAAAAAAAAAGATAAAAAAATACAAAAAAAGTTACAGACGGAATTAGTTAGGAGAAATTCTCCATTCTAAAAGTCCCCCCAAAAAATATGTAAGGGCTCAAACGAGCTCCAGAGGTGATGTCTAACAAAAGCTTCGACATTGAAGTCATCTCATGCGGGACAACGGAGCCGCAAGCGAGGTGTCTATTGCTTTCGAGCTCGGCAGTTCTCAGGCTCTCTGGTCCGGTCGTTGAACTCACGTCACAGGTCTGTGATTTTGTTCGTACTATTTGTAAGCATATCGACATCGCTTGCAGTCACTGACAACTTAAGAAATGCAGGGCGGGGCTCTTCACGCTTCTTCTTTCGTGATTGGTTCTTCGCCGTTCTTATCGTCAACTGTCGCAATTTCATTGGCTGCGGCGGAGCCCTTTTCCTTTTCCTTTTCCTTTTCCGTCTAACCTCCACCCAGCGCGTAACGTGCGTAGCCTCGACTCGGCGACTCGGCGCGCAGCGGGAATAGTTCTTCCGGTTCTAACACTTCCGGTATGCGGGAGCAGGCCTAGCCGGCTGGCAAGATGCTGAAGTGGTGCGCGTTAAATGGGGTTTGAAGCCCTTGACAGCGAAGTGAGTTGTAATAAGGTGGGTTAATGCGTCGATGTATCATGTCCGCGCATATTTGGTCATCGGGCTGCCACTGCGCAGTCGTTGACTGCAGCAGCAATTTCCGAGAACGGAAGACAGCGCGCGACAAATTGTGCACCGAACACAAGTCGCAAAGCGAATGCGGCTGTAACGTAAACACTTTGCATCGCTTCCCCGCTGATATCAGCGGAGAAGCGATGCAATATCAGCACATAAAAAAAAGCAAATAGGCAGTATAGAAACGGACATCTACAAGTGCAGTAATAGGCCTCGACAAGTCAAATGTAGAACGAATTTTGCAGCTTGTGGTGCAAATGTAAGACCCTGGGTGTAATGATTGTTATTGGCTACTCAAGTTTTCTTTTTCATTCCGTTCATTTCTACGAGGACGTGCACTATCATTTTGTGTGTTGCTCGGTAGCGACGCCCGTTAAAATACGTTAATGGAAACACTACGAAAAGAGGGCGCAAAATCGTCGTCGCCCGCCCCCCCTTTCACCCCCACCTCCTGAATAGTTCCGACGCATCTGGGCGTCATACGAAGTAGAGATGTCCCGGTAACTAGCCGGTAACTAGCGATCGTACCTCGGCGGTGCACCATAACAATAAACCGTTCGGCCCGCGTCGCCAACTCCCATTATGAGTATTTCTACGATTAAACGATGATACTTCTATGCCCAGGGTCGCCCTCGCTCGCGCATAGAAACACCTCCGTTAGTCGTTCGCCAGAAGGCTGTCATTCTTCACAAACAACAACACGCGAAGAGTGAACACTGGTAAACGTGCTCAGGAAACGTGAACATGCCTCCGATTTCGATTACCGGCGACGCTGGCGACGAACCTCTCGGCGCTGTTGGCGCAACAACGGGCGCCATGAAGGCGAATAAATAATAATAATAATGACTTTATTTGTTTACGCCAGAACACAAGAATAATTCACACTTTCAATAACAAACAAAATAAGAACTCACTAAAGGAAAAACAATGAAGATACGATGCACGGGGTCAATGGGAACAACGCGGGAGCTAGGAACAACGCTGCTCTCCGCATACCAAAATGGGCGCACAACAACCGTACGCCAGACGGCGCGGCTGTCGCTGCAACACGCAAGATGGCGACGACTACGCGGAAAAGGTGTATACTATAACTTGGGACTGCCCTGTCAGTGGCAATACATGGGTTGCACCTGACGTCATCACGCCGTACCAATGGTCATTGCTACCGGTTCTTAGCGGAAGGTTCCCGCAATCAGCAGCAAGGTCTTCATCATGGCCGCCGACGCGACGCCAACGTAAACCATGCATAGTATATATCTTGTACTCGCCGTTTACTTTTCGGGAATCACCTTGCTCTCGGGGACATTTGAGAGCGAGCGAGTGACTTATGAGGTTCACTAATGCCGCCATACTGTTCAGATTTCATACAAGAGACACGGAGTTTCTTCGCAAACACGATGACAGATTTCTCCGCGGACACGCCTCGAGTATATATTCGAAGCATGTTTGGTTCATGCACACGTATGCTTTAAAAATCTCTGCGGACAGTTCTTGTATGAGCGATGCGATCGTCGTACAAAGAACAAACACGCGTCAGACAGTGCCTGCAGAATTTCTTTTGTAAGATGTACTATGACCGAGTCCCACTAGAGTGACGAACAGAAACAACCGACACCGACAAGCCTCATGTCCGTGTGGTGCGCACGCGACGGTATAGACCGACACGCTGTTTAAAAACAAGCCCGCGTTTGCCCACACCATGTGTGGGCACTGCGCATGCGCAGAAACCGAATTCGAGTGAACTGAAGCGTCTGCGCATGCGCAGTGCCGTCGACAGCGCCACCGCAGCTGCGTGACGTCAGGGACGCGTGTTGGTCTATACCCTGGCGAGCTTGCCAAGGGTACGTTGAACGCTGAAGCCTTCAGAAAGTTGAAACCGTCGAGAAATTTGAAGCCAGTACGTTGTAGCATGCCAAAGATACTTTCGGGTATACGTCCTCTGCTCGTGCAAAATTGTCGATGTCGGTTGTTCATACGTTTGCCGCTTCGGTGGGACTCGGGAATTAGCTGTGTGACCCCCGCTTGAGGTTCTGGGGAGTACTATTTTTTTTTTTTTTTTTTTTGACGTATACGGAAGGCGTGGACGTCGCTTCTTGACGGCGAGTATGTATACCGCTCCTTGGGTGCCAGTGGGTGAAGAAGCCCGACTTCGACCTGTTCCCGGGCTACTGGCTGCGCCGTGAGGTGCTCCCTGAGGAGCCCTTCTACCTGCTGCACCCGGACTCCGTCTGGGAGGCCTGGCACTTCCTCGACAGGGAGAACCCGGGACCCGTGGTGCGGAACCCACCCTCCAGCGGCTTTCTCGGTGGGTGGCTATAAACGCGGAGTTCGAACCCCGCGCCCCGCCTGTTTTCGGTGTAGACGGCCGTGTGGGGCGCGTTAAAGACTCCGGGTTATCCGGGTTAGATGCACTGGCTAATTTGAACTTTTGCAGCCAGTCTCACCAAAATTATGAAGGGCAGATCGACCTTTGGTAATTTTGGACAGTCGGAGCATCCGGTGTTGATCTCGACATCATATGTTTGTGTACCTCGCGTACAGAATTTCAGGTGGACCGGAGGTAGCGGGAGTGCGTGTTTGAGGGTGAGGTGGAGAGGGAGCACGGTTCGATGGTCGTCCAGATCGGAACAGGCAGAGGTGGGGATCGAACCCATGATTCGTGTACCTCTCAGGAAGCTTTGCGAGTTCAGTCTCCTTCAGGAAACGCGGCAACGAATCACGGTGAACACTGAAAGGATCCACGCATATGACGAAACTTAACACGATTAGGTCTGAAAAAACAAAATATATGCAATGTGCGTGGAGAAAATGAGCACATTTTACTTCCTCGTTATCTTTGTGCTCATCACATTTTCAGATCTAATCAAAATATGAGCTTCGTCATTCGCTGGGGTCTTTCTATTTGTTGTTCCCCGTGATTCGTTGTCTCGTATTGTGCAGAAAGCGAAATCAAGGACGTTTTTATAGGATGCGAGTTCAGTGTATTTTTTTTTTCTTTAGAAGAGAAGCGAGGGGCTTGTTTTGAGCACGTCTGGTGAACACCGCGCTCAAATATGGCACTTGGTGTATACCTCCTATACAGTAAATGAACTAACCTGGATATGAGTGTATAACGTATAACAGTGTAATGTGCCGTGTACGTTTAACGTGCCTTGAACAGGCCTGCTGCTTCTGCTGGGCCTGTGTCGTCGGCTGGACGCGTACGAGCTTGTGCCGTCCATGCGTCTCACCAAGCGCTGCCACTACTACGAGGTGCACGAGGACCTCGGATGCACCCTGGGGGACTGGCACCCGCTGGCCGCCGAGAAGTTGCTCGCGTTGCACATGGCCGTCCCGGAAGTCCTGGACCAGGTGTTCGCTCAGGGACGTCTTCCTCTTGGCGGAGGCTCCTCTGCGGCCCCGTGAGCGGCAAGGACTTCGATGGTGCGCCTCCAGACTGACCAGTGTGCAGAGGGCTCTTCCCGCTCTCCCATCCACTAGGGGGATATTTGGGGCCGCGTGTGTTAGCGCAGCGCAGCTTGGAGCTCGTGGGGCGAATGCTCGCGCTGTCGTTCCCATGGATCCTGGGCTTAATCCCCACCCTTGCCCTCTTCGATCTGGATGAGCATCGCCGTGTATCGCTAACGCGTGACGCGCGTTAAACAGCCCAGGTTATCAGTAATGCTTTACTGGCAATAATCCTCATACTACAGCGGATGTACCAGACGCCCGTTGGGGTTTTGACTAACTTTCTGTTCCATGCAGCCATTTTTTGCTGCATGGCATTTTATTTTTTCTGCACATGCGGCAGCCTCTTACTTGCAGAGAGACGTCACGAGAACTATCTTACCTGCTGTGAACTAAAGTTATTGCGGCATCACGCATGCGCTGAAAAAGCTTGGTGATATCAATCAATTACAACGCTTGAAAGGAAGTCATCGGTTGTTCGGCCGGTTTGGTGAGACATTTCGGTAATCGGAACAAGTCAGCCGCAGTGAGAGGCATTGAAATGCGCCGTCACCCTCTCTCGACCATGTCTTGGTTAGCGATTTAAGATCATTCTGATTCTGTCTTGCTGCAAACCACGTGGGCAGAGGCTCAAACGAATGTTGTTGCTCCCAAAGAAATATGTCCAGAAAGAATATACTTTAAATGGGTATCAAATACTCCCGAAACGTGATTAGTGACGCAGCTGACTGCCATGTATAGTGTTACGAGGCTGGCCGGGAATGACACGCAGGTTATGCTGAGGGGGTACTTACCTAGTAATAACTGCGTAGTGAATATCTCGAACTATAGCCACGGACAATGAGAATGGTTCCTCGGTTAAATCTGCTATTATATATCTGTTGTAGCTGTACCCGAGTTTGACCAGTTTAAGTGTGAGACATCCCCCTTTCCGTCTCTTTTACCTTCAACTTCTGCAATCTTCCTATTATCTATTCATTTTTTACCACGCTGGCGGGTAGTTTTGCGTTATGAATAACTTACATTAGCTCGCTTACACTGCCCTTTTGTTAATTTGTTTTTCTAACATGACCTTTTTTAGTTAGACCGACGAAGATGATATGCTTCTGGCCGCACCACGGACTGTTGACAAATCACAAATTTCACAACTTTTGCCGCAAAGCATAGAATCTCCCGAACTAGAGATTGCCGTGCAACTTACAGTGAGTCCCACTACACCTGTATGGTAGATAAACTGCTGCATACGTAGCGATGCGCCGTTTGCAAATGAAAAAAAAACAAAACAAAAAAAAACAGACACAATAAATCGCAATTGAGTGCCATTTGTTGTTACGGCGAAGCAACAGCCTTGCTGCTTAGACCTCGTTTTGTACGCCACAGAGTATGAATATCACGTACATCATTATATTTTATCTTATTCCTCGGTGATGTTTGTTCCACGTGACCGAACGAAGATTGTGCGGCCTTTTCCTCAATTATATGCAGATGAAGACGACGGAACAGAGGCCTGATTGGGGAGGTCATCTTGTCGTTCTGCATTGCAGCCTTCGTTTGCTCTTCCTTTGCACGTAATTGACGGACGTCGGACGTCTTTTCACTCGCTTAACCTTGGGTGGAGCGATGAACCGAGCACGAACACAATTACGGCCCCGAACCCTACACACTCCTTCCAGCATGTATTATCGTGTTCGTTGGCAACCAAGTTCTGTAGCGTAGCGACAGAGTCCTGAATGCTGGACTTGTCCCAATTTTCATTTTTATTTCAAGCATCGTTACTTCGTAATTACGAAAAACCCCGAGACTAGCGTCAAAAAGAAGGACCCCTCTCCTCCTTTTTTTTTGTTTTATGTTGTTTTTACCCTAATCTCAGAGTTTTCTGTAATTCTGTTAAATTTACACAACATCGTTTGCACACCCACTCTATCTCTTTGTTATATATGGCGGCTAATATTGTGTCTTTTTTCATTTACCTGCTACCTCGTAACGTGCTTTACGCATACAGCTATGTCTCGGTAATAGAGACTTTTTAGCAAACCGTTACCCTGATCCTCGTACTGCACTACCGGAGCCTTTAAAGCGTGCTTTTAAGCGCGCGCCTTGCGGTCAAGGTATCACCCTGAAAGGCTTCGGTAGTGCGGTACGCGGAACACGGTTACCGTTGGCTAACACTCCCTAATATGGACACCTCTGTTTCCCAAAAGAATCGCTCCTAATGTGAGTCGTCTGTAATAACGATTCAAGTTAAAGAGTGAAAATAATTAACAACAAAAGTGGCCACAAAAGCCTTGATGCCGTAATTCCTGGCCGCTTCCGCTTCACGCCTGACATGGTCTTACCTCCTTCTATAGTATATGGGTAAGTGTCCTTACTTTCATGCAAAACTGGTACATTTGACCTATGAATGTTCTTCAGGTTTGTCATTCGTGGGCGCGACACACATGGGGACAGAAGGGCAAGTAACCAACTTGACCGGAAATTCCCGAAAGATCGAACCGATTATTTGGTGCTCAGGTCTTACTTACATGTGTGTCTCAGAAGAGACAACCAACCACAGACAGTAGTAAAACTCTGGGCGTATACCCCGTAACCTAAAAGCAATGTTTGTGTTGCGTTTGTGTGGGTTATTTCTAAAAATTCTGTGTCTGTTATACGGGACAAAAATGTGCGTGTTAATCAGTTTCGTCCCAAACTTGCTGTCCATGGACCGGACTGTGGATTTCTATATTAACCAGTCAGATTGTATAAAAACGGACCTATCCCCCAAATGTTGTCTATATAGTGGGGTGTCCGTACTAACGAGATATGTTTCACAAAAACATCTCATAAAAGCGTCCTTCAGCATATTCTTTTTTTACGGCAATATCTGTCCTCGACCTTAGATTTTTCCTGATTTCCGCGCCACCTACAACGAACCATGCGTTTTGCTTTAAGCCAGGGTCACAGAGGCATCGAGGCGACCAGTCTACTCATGAGCAATGACTTTACTTGGAAAAAGATGGCAGCGCCCTATCCGCGGGGCGCATCTCGATGGCGCACAGTTCACAGCACCGTCCTTGGAGACACACACATCACACGCGCCGCGTGGGCAGTTTGGGGGTCCCGGGGCCTCTGAGTCGCGGGCACCCTCAGGCCCGGCCCCGTGTTCTCGCGGGATCTGAACCCCGGGCCAGCCGGGCGGGTGGCCGAAGGCGACCCGCACCCTCGTCGTCAGTCTTTGGTTCGCCTCTCCCTGAGGCAGTGCAAGAGAACTCAGAGCAGCCGAAGGGCCACCACCGCCACTAGCAGCGCCCAGGAGCACGCGCTGACAGTCCGTGCCGCGTCGTTGGAGGAGTCCTCGGGCACTGGTCGGGTCACGGGACCAGTCTCCCCTGCTACCGGTGCGGCGTCTACCTGGAGTCCTTGCGGGTGCGATGGAAGTCTCGCGGCCAAGGGCGCCTCTGTGCGGTCGAGCACGTGCGCTGTTGCGCTCTCGGGATTGCGTCGAGAAGAGGCCCGTTGCGCCGCCATCGCGCTCGACATGGCCTTGCAGTCGAACCACCAGACGGAGGTGGCACGTGGGTAGGGGGGGTTGCCCTGGTCCACCTGCGTATAGGCCGGTTGAGTGGTCAGATGAATTGCGTCAAGTTGTGACAATCCCTAAGAAGAGGCATCGCGAAGCGAGTACGCAGTTATCTAAATCATGCATACGCTATACTGCCTACGTCTTAAGTCTAGTCGGCAGCTATATATGGCTTGCATTAGTGAACGTCATAAAAGTGGCCATTGTGGTTGGCAACGTGCGCGATCAAAAGCGTCACTGTGATCGGCCTTCCACGATTGACCGAATGCTGACTATGACGTCAGCAAAAGATTTCTCTTGGACGGAAATAAGAGGAATGAAAGAACTTCAATGTTGGCGGTGTTGGCAGCGTTGATTTCAGAGCGCAATGATTTCAAGCTTCCACTATGCTAACTAGAAACACCATCGAACTTGACGTTCACAAGGTAATGACGTCACAAGAGGGAACCATAAGCGTGCGCCACCAAAACATCTCGCCGCTAATAGTTTGTTTCGTTTCCCCTGCGAGCAAAGCCTAATCTACAAGCAGGTGAATGCTGCCCTAATGCTCGCACTGCGCGAACGCGTATGCTCGGCAGGGACTCTAAAAGCACTACCTCTTTTAGCTTCTGCTGGCACCTCATCATCTGGTAGCCAGCCAATACCACGTAGAAGACAAGGCCGGCGCATGACGTCATTGCTAGTGGTTCCCAGATCCGCCCCAAGCAGCAAACAGGCTGAAGCTCAGCAAGAGACGTCGCAAAGCGGCAGGCGCGTCCGTGTTAGCGTCGCCGCCTGCTCGCGTTGTGCTTGTTGCGAGACGCATTAGCGGCGATGCTGACGCAACCTAGGCGGCGCTGCGGGTATCCACTAGTTAAAACGTCGTTTGGGGGGGGGGGGGGGGGGGGGGGGGCAAGGCTGGCTTTGTCTTCTAGGGTGGTATTGACCCAACACGTCATACTTTTCCCAGAAACTGGAGCCCTTAGCTGACTAAAATTACGCGCGTTTCGAACCACGGCTCTATATTCCTTACTCTGAGGCTATCGCAGCGAACGCCCAGCATGCACCCCGATGAGGTAAGTGGTCTCTTCTCACCCCAAAGTCCTTGTCGTTGAACCTGTAGTAGTTGCCGCCCTTGAAGAAGTACGAGTATCCGTTCTGCCACTGGAAGGCGGCGTCCAAGTGTCCCGGGATGCCGTTCCAGTTGCTGATGGGCTGCGGGTAGCGGTCGCTGACGGGCACCTCGCTGCGACTGTCGTAGCGCCAGTACTGGTCGCCCTTGAAGAAGTACGTCTTGCCGTTGCCGCTCCAGACGAGCGCGGCGTCCACGCTGGCCGGAATGCCCTGGAAGCCCACGTTGATGCGCTGTGGGTAGCCGGAGCTCTTCTCCTTGTTGCGGAACCTCCAGTAGTTGTTGCCCTGTGAAGATGGGTCATGGTTGTGAACACCGTTCGAACTTAGGAGCCAGCACCTCATGGACGAATGGATGTAGTGGATGTGACGCGGGAATGGGGAAGAGTCAGGCCCATCTGGCGAGGCACCTTACGTTTCGTTTTATGCAACAGTTTCATACGCAAGTTATGGAGTTTCTACATTTATTCGAAGAAACAACCTCCGCAGACATTACTATTGCGGTCATGGGTGCGTGCAGAAATCGTTATTTGAATCCTATTCCCAACTAGAAATTAACGCATATCCAGCTTCCCTGAAAATGTGCACGCAAGGATGGCATGTGGGAGTACGGGGCTTCTACTATACTTCGCTACAAACGTAGATCCTATCGAAGACTACGGGCGCGAGCTCACATACTTAGAAGGTGCTCCCGCTCCGCGATCTTTTGCGCAGTCAACACAAATTTTGAAGACAAAATCGCAGGCCTGGAGCCTTCGCTGCAGTGCATGGTAATATGAGACAAAATGTAATAGTACCTGTGAAAGTAAAAGTGGATAGTGAAAAGAACGCACCTTGAAGAAGAAAGTTTTTCCGTCGGACCAAGTGAGAGCGGCATCCAGATTGCCGGGCAGACCGCTCCAGTCGTCGGAGATCTTTCGAGGATAACCGTCACCAATACCGTCTGTCTCAATCTTCCAGTAATAGTCGCCTGTAATGAAGCAGAAACACGCATGCTCAGAACAAGTAACGTCACACACAAAAAAAGGACCACAACATATTTACATGCAAAACTGAACAAAAAAAAAAATTGTCGAGACAGGCAAGTTCCAAACATTTGTAAAACTAACCAGGCACCAAAAACTATGAAAGGAGTCTAGGGAGACATGTTGCATACGCGTTGCATACACTCGCCCTTTTCCTGTGAAGCCTATTCGAAGTGAATGGCTAAAATGATTGGATGGCGAAGTCATGTGCAAATTATCATTTGTCGTTAAAGTTTGCTTTAAAAAAAAGAGTGTTTCAGACGTCAGGATATGCAACCCCTGTGACTTGACCCGCAGCCTGCTTGGCGTTGCATGGAAATTACACAAATGGTCATTGCAGCTGACACGACAGCAGCGACGAGCCGCCAAGACAACCGTGTGCCACGTATGTCCGCAGCAAACAACTATACAAGTGGATGAATCGGCCATGTCGCTTGTAATCGATCAATCACAAAATTAAAGATACGGGCACGTATTTTCAACTTGCGACTGCCTCACACAGCTGCTCTTTTGCATAGGCTGTCGGACGGTGATGTACGGCGCAAGGTGGTCCGGGTGACCCGTCGTCAACATTTTTATTTCAGCCGATATGAACGAAATCGGGCCACTTTGTCTCAGTGAACCAGAAGTTTAACTGGGTTATATTGATCGTTACATATTATAGGTGGTAAAAGTTTTCAACCACGTTTCCTTAGTCATCGTCACGCACCACCGAATTGGTTAGTCTCAGCTCATAATAACTGTCATGTTGGAATCTTCCGTTGACGGATACGAAACGGCAGCCAGAAATGTTCATACAGAGATGCGAAGAACTCAACGATTATAATTAATATAAATCTCGCCAAGAAGGTTGGCCCTCATGTTGGATGAAAGAAAAACGCCTTTGATGGGGCGAGTGTTCCTCAAAGTATAGACGATTGCAAGCTGGGCGACTGGCCGCCGCCATGTCTCTGCTCGAGCAGGCACGCCCGTGCGATTGCGAGCTTGCCAAAGCTACGTTCACCCGCGCGTTGCATGCGCTTGCACGCATGGGGCACCACTTGTGGCGCCATGCTTGCAATTGTCTATAATCTCAGCGAATTCCATTGACCGCACTCGCCGGAGTCAAGGGGTGCCGCGTTAACTGACCAAATGTTCAACTGGGCTACTGTATTTGTCATGTTCTATTGGCGACGTGAGCGATCGAAAGCCTCGCTGTGATCGGCTCGCCACAATTGGCCGAATGCTGACTATGACGTCAGCAAAGGATATCAAATCGACGCAAATAAGAGCAATGTAAGAAATTCAATTTTGACGGTGGGCAGTGTTACTTTGAGAGCGCTGTGATTTCAGGCTTTCACTATGCTCATTAAAGGCACCATTGAACTTGTTCTACACAAGGTAATGACGTCACGAAAGGTAAACAAACGAGGGCGCCACCGAAACACCTAATTACACGATGATCGTCTACGCTCGATTTCACATTAAGTCCTATCGTAGTCAACGTTACTTTCGGACAGAGCCAATCAAACAGCACCAAATGTGTACCGTCATGACGCCCGTTATCTTTGCGCGTCTGCTGCCGCCGTCTAGACCAATCGCGCTCACTGCAATCGGTACGATCCTGCGCTTGTTCATGTACGCGATTGACCCAACCGACGATAGCAAACGCGCAAGAGCGATAGGCGCCATGACGATCGGCTTTTGGAGCTGCCTGCATTGGCTCTATTGTGTCGTTAGCGTCGGCTGTGGTGGGTGCACAACTTTGCGCACATAGAATCGACGCAGCAGCCAATATCATCGATCAAAGAGGATACGGGAGATACAGGGGCACGCAAGAAACACGGCGGTGACCATCAAGTGGTCACCACCACGTGACCACTTGATAGGTAGTGGGTATGCACACTTTTCATTCACTATAACCCTCTAAAACAAATAAACTTTTTTTTTTTTTTTAAGTGAAGAAACGATATTTAGCATGTTTCAGACGAATTCAAGCAAGCGGTGACCATCAAGTTAAATTCAGCGACTCGTAGCACTTTTCTGAGAACTAATCGATAGTGGACCGTGTTTTTAGAACTGTGATGTCTGACCCTTTCGGTAGGTGCTTGTGTCTACTTAAACGTTTTGTTTAAAACACTGCTCAAAAAAAGAACGCACTTTTTAAAAGTTGCATTGGCCAGAAGCCTCTTTTCTGGGATGGTGTATAACTGAAGAGACGTGTGTTGAGGCAGGACCCTGGTGAAAGAGATCCACTAACTCTGGAGAAACGGGGGAGTTGTTGGACGCACCTTTGAAGACGTAGGAACTGCCGTCCTCGGTCCTGGTGGCGGCGTCGATGGACGCGTCCTGGCAGAGGTCCGGACCGGGCTGGGCGGGCCTGCGGCTGCCTCGGCTGGGCGTCTTGGTCGTCCTGTGCACGGCTCCTAGAACAAAAATTCACGAGGGCTTAAACACGCTAGATAGTGGAATGGAATTTTATTTTTGTGTAATGCAACAACAACAAGAAAAACCAAGGACATTTGGATTGTTTCCACTTATCATGTTGTGCACTTGTTTTTGCAAGCACAGTTCTCAAATAAAAAAAAAACCTTTCACCCCCCTTTCCCCCAAAAGCAAAACCGCTTATTGTTTGGGGGAAAAATATAAACATAAATAAATATCAATTCCTATTTGATATGACAGAAGAAAACTTTTTTCTTAATTCGTATATGTTATTCTGGAAATATTTGAAACCGATTATGACCGATGCTGGTGTCTGCAATGAACTTCTAGTCACATTACGTATCGCAGCTTCGTAAATTGACGGCCCATTTGTTTGAGAATAAATTACGCGCTACGCATCGCAGTGATACAGCACTTCTGCGACCTTGAAGAAGAGTTATCCATTAAACACATGGCGATGCCTGCAAAATCGCGGTCAAAAAAGTAAAAAGAAAATTTAAATATAAAATTTAATGCGTGAAATGCGTTTCAGACGTAACTAATTGCGATCAGCGTCGGTAATGTCGTGCGGGTGCAGTTGCCAAAAGCGATTTAGAAACTCTCGGATTTCATTAACACCGCGGAGATGTCAATAGCGTGACCCCGGAAAAAAAGATACCACAGAAATCCTTGCGAAACCTGTGGTCAACCGACTGGAAGACCTCCGCGCGTATCCCAAAAACATCTTATTTTTTAGTCAGGCCGTCTTAGATATCTAAGCTGTCGAGAACTTCCTCGTTCTTACACCGTCCGTGAAAAACAGCCGAGAGAGAAAACAATTTATAAATTGAACGAATAGAGACACACTTAATACACCCGGTCTGAGAGCTTTCTGAAAGTTAGCGACGCAACAACGAGAAAAAGAAAACAAGCGACTTGAGCTTTGTTTTATCATCTAAACACAGTTCTAGAGAAGAACAAAAAAAAAAAAAAAAAAGAAAATCTACGATTACGAAGATTCGCCGCACCGTATCCCGGCTATCCCACTTTCTTCTAAACAACAACAAATAAAAATGAGTTTTTTTATTGGGCGAAATTACCATCAAACCTGGGAATGTACGATTGCATATCGGTTGAAGCCGCACGGATATGCGTAAACATTATGAAAATCGCTCTTCCCCCCCCCCCCCCCCCCCCCCGCCCAATTTAGCTTTTTTTTCTTTTTCAACAGTACACTCCCCCCTTTTGATCGCATCTGAATAAGAAGTTGAGCAAAGCGTTCCGATATCTTCGATACCACCGAAAACTGTATATGACGCAGGTGAAAAGACAGCGGCGAGGTATCGGTTATCGTTATCGGAGGTGACGATACCCGATACCTGGCTACTAAAACTCTAATAATGTCGCCTTTCTCTACCGCTAGCGGTTGCGTGATTTATTATAAGGGACCTCCTACAAATTTTGCCCTCTTGCTGGGGGAAAGGGCTGAAAGGGTTTTGCATTGCCATAACTATGAAAGAAACTTCCCTGTCGGCGTTGTTCACATTGAATGCTCCTCAAGATTTTCTATGGGGGGCTTGGTTTATAGGAGACTATATAGCTTTTCGTAGAGACGACCAATAAATAGTACGTCTATTCGGGTGAACTGACTATAATCACCGACAACTTAAGACATGCAGGGCGTAACGACTCCCGAGCATTTCGTCATCGTCCCGCAGCCAATGAGAATGCAGAAAAGCCAATCGGGAAGCCAGAGAAGTAAGCGTAAGAAACCACACGGAGTGGCAGAAATACGACCGACCGATTTCGGAGTCGACGAATCGATTATCTTCGTAGATAATATTCGTCAGACTTGGGGAATTTTCAGATAATCGAAATATACACAGTTAGTTGGAGCCGCATCACCTGCAGTGACCTCCAAACATTCCCAACTCAAATTATCGACGCACGGAGCCGGGTAAACTGAGGGCGAGTAATCGACTCGAATTAATGTCTCGAAAGTTTTCCTCAAACTTTCGCTTGCCGTGTGTTGCACGCGGCAATCGACAGTTTGAGGAAACAGACCGCGCAGTTCGCCGAAACAAATCAAGGTCTATCGTATCGCGGCTATGGTCCGGTTCTCTTGCACAGTTTCGGTGGCGGTATACGAAGGTGTATAGTTACCGCTTTCATTTCACGAGGCGGAGGTCACCGTCACTGCATTAACGTTCCTAAGGATATTACAAAAAGAATTAATAGTGCGCCGATGCAGGTTATCTGCCGGTGGTCGAAATTTACCGGCGGTTTTCGGCGGCGCTGTTCGCGGGGGAAGGCTTGCTAAGACGTGAGCGGCAGAAATACTGGACAACAAGGCGAAGGCTTCGCGCCTTTTAAAATGAGTAGCACATTGAGATATAAAGTGAATATTTGAAGTGGAAAGTCAGTAAAAAACGGCAGGCTGGGGGTCAGACGCCGAAAAAGTGTATTCGAGGCATACGTGAAAGCGCGAGGGCTTCTGCAGAAGTGCCACAACTAACCCAACGTGATCATTTGTATGTCAATAGAACGTGCAAACTGTCCAAAATGTCCTTCGTTTTCTTGAGGAGCATGCGTCCTGGTAGCCGAATCCCATATATAGCAATATTCTCTATAAGAACTCCATGAACATACGCGAGCAGAAGTAAGGAAATTTAAAAAAAAAAAAATCGACATTTAAAGGTTGATTAAAGCAGCATTCGCGTGAGTAAAAGCGTCCACAAGCAAATATGGTTGGTGTGGTTACTATGCGTTAGAGAGCAATGCACATGCGAGCTTGTTTCGGCTCCTCCAAGAAATTAAGCACTGCGCACGTCACTTCGCAGCATGCTTGCACACTTGTCACTACATTAAACGTTATTTCTACACCTTCTCCATGCAAAGACAGAACAACATGCTGTTTTGTAGAACTAGCCTTGTAATAAAACAATTATTCTAGACGGTATACTTGCACTAACATGAGAATGCAGGCGAGCTGGTATACAGACAAGACTAGTGAACTTTAGACAAAGTAACGGGTAAGAAAAAAAAGAAGAGGATGCAGACGAAGCCTTTAATGAAGGTGCTGTCCTCCTCTCTTGCTCGTTCTTACCCATTACACCGTCTCATGGTCACTAAACCAATCGGTTACATGCACATAGTTATAACCTTTGCGGACCACAAAGATGATTAGGGTTAGTAAAGCAGCGGGGCGCTCTCACCGGGAGTACCGCCCGCCCGGCGGGCATCCTTGGGGCGGCGCGGCTCCCGAAGCCGGTCGTGGGAACAAAGAGCGCATCATGCGGAAGACGGCCATCCAAAGCAGGCGTTGCGACAGAGCCATGCGGTTGCAGTCAGCTTTTTTTATTTGCGAGGCATGCGGTTAGAACGGAGGAGCGGCTCTTCGGCGCCCGGGTCTCAAGTTCCAGGGCTGACGTCGCCGGAGCACGACCCAGCGCCTCCGGGGCGACGGCTGCATGGGCTTGGGCGCCGCGGGCCGCTGCGACCGCCGTCGCACGGTGATCTTACCGTAGAGCGACTGGATGCCGTCGATGTCATCGCGGTCCAGCGTGAATCCCGGCTCGTAGCCGCGGTAGAAGGGAGCCATGAGGGAGCGTCGAACGTCGGAGTGGGACAGGCCTAGAGAGTGGCCGAACTCGTGGGCCGCCACCTGGAACAGGTTCACGCCTGCGCAGCGCGAGTGGGCACCGAGCGATGAGAATTTCATAATACGCGTCAAAGATTAAAGGCTAGTTGAGATTTAATTGTTTTGTGCATTTGTTTACATAGCGGGAGGTTTCTCAGTCCCAGCGGAAGTTGTGACTCAATGCGTTACAATACGAACCAGTCCGCGGACCTCGCGGTTACCATATCAACCATCTAGTCGTAAGCGGTTATATGTTGTCGCCATCGGTCACGCTCAAATGCAGATGTGTGAACCGGTCTTAAGATTGAAGCTCTGTATTCACTTGACAGGAAAGTGGGAGGTACATAGGCAAAAGTGGGCGCTGAAAGAAGTCTCCAGTTTCACATCCCGCCCGCGCAAATCGGAAGTTTGTTACCCTATGAGTGTTCGTCTAAACGCGACCGAGGAAGATGTGATTCAGCTTGTGTGGGCATGGCGGAGCCCGGAACGAGCAATTTTTAAAATGACACGGCCCGGGTACGCTTGCTCAGCGCACCATCTAAATAAAGTTTTACTATTTTTTTTATTTTTTTTTTTATTTTTGATGTAGAGTTATTTGGCAAAGACGGATCACACGCGTGGTACGTTGAAGTGGGCTTAGGTCTCCACTGCTGCAGTGTATTGTATAATTACATATATGCGTCTGGAGCCACTAATAAGCTTCAGAGTAACAACCATCTTGGCGCCTGAAATCATCGTTGCCAGTTACCCAAACCTTCGTCTGAAATCGCAGGGGGGAAACTGTTTTCCGTCCTCCGGAAGAGTTAAAACAGATCGCGATGCCGGGAGCAAAACGACACATCGTCTAAAGGCTCAAGGCTGGTTCACACAGACCCGTTTTCTTTCGTTACGTTACGAAAAGTCACCGATAAATCTGTGATTTGTATTAAGCGTGGCTACCAATTCAAGGAGAGAGCCTGGCACTCGACATTCGAGACACGAATGTTTCGGTGACTTAGACGTAACGTAAGAAAACGGTTCTGTGTGAAAAGTTGAACCGAGCTCAACTCTTTACGTTACGTTACGACCAGCCTTGTGTCCTTGGTTGCCACGGTAACTCACCGGTCCTAGCTCGTCGTCACCGAAACATTCGTGTCTCGAATGTCCCGTACCAGGCTATCTCCGTGAATTGATAGCCACGCTTAATACAAATCACAGATTTATCGGTGACTTTTCGTAACGTAACGTATGAAAACGGGTCTGTGTGAACGAGCCTTCATTCGCACAGACCCGTTTTCTTACGTTACGTTATGAAAAGTCACCGGGAAATGTGTGCTTCCTATTAAGCGTGGATACCAATTCAAGAAGATAGCCTGACGACACTCGAAATACGAATGTTTCGGTGACTTAGACGTAACGTAAAAAAACAGTGCTGTGTGAAAAGTTGAACCGAGCTCAACTCCTTACGTTACGTTACGACAAGCCTTGTGTCCTTGGTTGCCACGGTAACTCACCGTCGTAGCTCGTCGCCACCAAAACATTCGTATCTCGAATGTCCCGTGCCGGGCTATGTCCTTGAACGGGTAGCCACGCTTAATATGAAGCACAGATGTCCTGGTGATGTTTCGTAACGTAACGTAGGGAAACGGGTCTGTGTGAACAAACTTCCCGACACTGTCATCTAAAGCTATGGAAATCGCATTTTCGAATCTTAACGATCGCCGATTGCGCCCGCTCTGTACTAAGCATCAAAATGGCGGCGCCCACAAGAAAATCCGGGAATATATAGTGGCGACGCCCTAAAGCCGCGGTCAGGCTGTAACACGTCGCACAAAAGACAGTTTGCAGATGCTGTATAAGCCGTTTCTTTCTCGTAGGACGGTCCCGTCACGCTGGTCATAGGAAGACCGTCTGCAGACATGTTTGGAGATACGTTGGTCATTGTGTCTGTACCGGACACTATGTTTTCTACACGATATATAAGCGGTGTGGCTGCGGCTTAAAGGCCGACGACCGGACTCTAGATTCTGCAAGGCGGAAGATCCTCCTCGTCATTGAGGAGGAGGAAACAGGCAAAGGTGGACAGGGTAGGAGGGGCAGAGAGGAGGAAGCGGGGGAAAAGGGGAAAGCGCGAACTGGTCGTCGGTGGGTCTTTAAGCGTATACCCTTATTGGGTGACTCTAAATGGGACCCTTTCTTCGATAGATAGCCAGAGAGGAGCCGCGCGTACCTCCGTGCTCCCCGATGGTCCATTTCTCTTCGTCGTCGAAGTGAGCGTCGCCCCCGTAGCGCGGGAAGAAGGCGTGCGCCAGGGTTCCTCCTGGACCGTTGAAGGGGTCTCCGTCACCGTGCTCCCCGCGCACGAACTGGATGTCGATGTTCACGGGACCGGTCTTCTTGTGCGTGAACGTCAGCGGGGACACGTCGGCCCACATCTGGGACAATTAATCGCCGTCATGGTAAGCATACGCGCGCGGACCAGCGAGAAGGATATATACGAGTTTCAAGAAATGTACTATAAATCCAAATACGTTACACCGAGCAAGCGAGCCAAGACAGCGAAAATTGGCGAGACAGAGAATATACTGTAGTTATGTATAGATACAATACAGAAAGGCATACAATAAGGTCATCGCGAGCCACATCACGGAACATCAGGCCGTATCATGACCATGGCTGCATTTACACGGTTATGCGACCGCATCTCATAGAATCAAAAGGTGAACAATCAAGTGCACACAATCTCCTCCTGAACTCATTCATAGTTTTATAATCTCGATTCAATGAACTACGGTAGCATCCATGTAAAAGCAGTCGCTGTCTGTCTTCTTAAAACAGGCTGACCCCATGTGAAATCTGCGTGATTGGCAGTTGATTATTGGGTCTCCAGTAAAGTATTGCAGAAGCAACCCTACGCTGTGCACGTAGATGTATGTCTAAACCACTAGGGGCCGGAGAGAGGGTGTTGTGACCCAACACCACAACCGTTGTGTTTTGCGGTGGCCTTCGGTTGGTGACGTAAAGACTATAGCCTACGGCCTTGTTATATAGGAGGTGTTGTCTGACCCCGACATTTCTCCCCGTGGAAGCAGGCGAACGGCCGAAGCTCCTGGCTTCGCCGCTGGGGTCACAGAGAACCGAAAGACGCAGTTATAGCGCTAACGGGAGTAAACCCGTTCCGACGCGCGGACTCTCCTCCCTGACGTCTGAAGCGACAGCAGCGCATCAGATAAGAAAGCCAAAGCAAGACGAGGCAGGGAGGGGAGGGGCGGCTACCTTGAATGCCCTGGCGATCTCCTTGTCGACGGCGTTGCGGTCCTTGAAGCGACGCGGGTACTTGCTGATGCGGTACGAGAGCTCGGTGCTGGCCCACTTGGAGCCCTGCAGCGTGTAGCGGCGGCGGCGGCGCCGAGCCTCCAGGCCGTAGCCGACCTTGTCCTTGACCCCGCATCGAGGGAGCTGCATCATGGTCGCCGTCTCGTTGTCCACGCGCCCTGCAACCGCGCAAAACGGACGAAATCGAGACGTCAGGCGGGGCTCTTGACGAGTTTCGAGACTTATGCCACACACGTGCGTCCACTAGACAGTGACTCCCCTAGAGATCGAGACTGTCTTTAGGAGACGTACTGTGTTAGGTTGTTCTTTCACCCGTTCTTGAGTCATGTTGGGTCTTAACGCGCACGGAGGCTTCAAAGCGCGGTGGCGCACCTGCCAGTCTTCCCAAAATGTATGTAGTACTGCGCCGGGAAGCACCAAAACACCCTGTAGCAAAATAATGTGGCTGTTTTACTATAGAAGCCTTTACAGTATATATAAGGCGGCACGAAAGTGGACATTGAGCACTTGCAGCGTTGATTTATAAACCGATGGGGGCTTATATACGGTTATACGTTTCTGTACAGCTGCCGCGTAATGTTTAGTTATTTTAGCAGCCCCCCCCCCCCCTCCCTCTTATAGCCTGTCTCAGAGCTTAAATTGTGCTGTCTCTTGCGGACCTATGATGACCCCGTGGCAAATTATTCTAATTAGCGACCCTCATCGCGTGCAATCCAACCATCATACCCACATTCAGGCTCTCTCTCTTTCTTACTTTCTGTTTCACTCTTCTCCCCTCTCTCATTCTGCTGCTCTTCGGCCTTTCTTTCACATTGCCAAACAGCTCCCACGAACATCTATCCCCCTTGGTATACGGGACGATCTTTCTCTAAATATATTCCTTCTCACATATACGTGTCGATTCTTTAACCTACCATAACATTTTACACCTCTTTCTAGCTAAAAAAATATATATGAGACTTTCCGCAATAACTAGAAAGAATAAACTCGAATAATAACAAAGAATTAGAGGGCAGTTGTGTAGTGGACTAGAGCGCACAAGACCGGTAGCAACGCGAGGAGCCATATTGGGATATTCTGAGATCACTCTCCGAAACAAATGGGTTCCGCGAAGGAGCCTCAAACGTCTCAAGGCTTCCAGACAATCTTATTCACTGTGTATACACACATGGCGGTCTGCCAACGCGGCTCTCTCTCTCTCCGGGAAGTCAGTGGGGCGTGCAGAATTGTTCCGCCTCTTCAAGTGGGCGTTTGGTGGTAAGCCCACAAAAACCGACCTCGACGTGGAGTCATCCGGCGGAGTGCGGTCACAATGAGTCACGTTATCGTATGCTAAAGCACGTTAACGACTACACTCACTAACAGCCTGAGAACGGCAGGACGTCTCTCTCGGAGACTCGGCGTCCAGCACGTGCTTGATCGTTGCCTTTTACCGTGCTTTGACTGAGCGTGCACGCTCGAGGTTCACGACACGGCGAAGTGTTATCGAAGGTAAAAAGCTCGCGCTTGAGGCTGTACAACCGAGAGACCTCTCTGCCGTTCTCCCTTTGTTAGCGACTCTGCGCCGAGAAACTGAGGGAGAGAAGGAGACGAGAGGGGACGTCAGATCGCCGAGCTCTGGTTGGAAGGATTAGTGGGTAGGCCTAAAGGTAGCTGCCAGTGTTGGGCAAAGTACATCTAAAAAGTACTTCAAGTAAAGTACAAAGTAAATGATAACGTAGACTCTTTAAGTAAAGTAGTAAGTACGCTGGGTACGATGTACTCGAATTAAAGTACTATAAATGCAATGTACTTTAAATGTAAAGTACAAGTATTTTAACCCTATGTTTCATGATGTCCTTTAATTCCCCTATACAGTGATTTTTTAACTGGTATGCATTGCCCAGGGGTAATCATGGGTGCATGACCTATTTTCAAGAACAGCGGCGAATGTTGAATAAAGTCAAGTGGCAAACAGAGTTGTTATTTTCAGGAATGGTGCCAAATTCAGAAGTCCCTCTTCTGAATTGGGCGCCGCTTGCACTGGATTGTTGCACCCAAGGGGGTTAAATGTACTAGGAGAAAGCATGACGTCAGCCCCGCGGCTTCCGCAAGCAATCCTCACAAAAAGGAGTGTCCTCTCTTTAATGAAAAAAAAAATACTGAGTGTGAAAGCGAACTGGTGATAATTAATCTTAATGTGACACCTGAGATTGGGCTGTGAAAAAATTAAGGAACTTTCAAGTCGAAGGAAAAGACAAAAGAAGATGTCTGAAAACATTGTGACGTTCTCCCCTGTTGTCTTTTTCTTCGACTTGAAAGTTTAATTGTTCCGCGCCACAGTTTCAGGTGCTAGAGTATGATTACTTTTGATCTGATAATATTTTAAACCTCCTCGCTTGCGCTTACCGACCGAGAAGTATAGCGAGAGTTCAAAAAGCTACTGGAAAGCCGCCCCCAGAGCAAGCGGAGCGATGCGTCGTCTGCTCACGTCTCTGGTGAGAGGAGAAAATCCCTCCCAGTATTTCTTTGGAGTTGACAAAGCATCATTTCGTAATACAAATTTAACAAAACCAAATTTGGGGAATCTACTTTGAAGTCGGGAATTGTACTTTCCTCGAAAAATACCAGAAAAAATACTTTAAGTAAAGTACAAGTACATACCCAGAGAATGTACTTTAAGTCAAGTACAAGTTTCCTAAACCTACTTGAAGTAGTACTTTAAGTACAATGTACTCAAAGTACTTCCCAACACTGGTAGCTGCCCTTGTCTCCAATGCACTCGTAGAACGCGTTCGAACGCGACAGCCGGATGTCGGCGTTCTAACCCGTTCGACGAGTGTAGTGGAGACAAGGGCAGCTATAGCTTTAGCTCTACCCACTAATCCTTCCAACCAGAGTCCACTCTCGTTTCCTCCTCTCCCTCAGTTTATCAGCGCAGAGTTGGACTGAGGAAAAACCTCTCCGATTAAACGACAAAAAAAGAAAAAAAGCTTTTACAGTTGAGTTTTTTTATCATAAAAGAAAAAACACAACTTGTTTGAACCTACAAAAAAAAAAGTGCGATAGAAAGCGCACGCGCAGTACGTCGAAGGGTGACTGTCTGGCGACGATGTTTTGCCGCGCGTACATGCTTTGCGAGATGCAGTGCAACGAATCCTCCCTAGCTGTCTTTACTCGCGGAGAAGGTCACGGCGGTAGACTCGAACAGGCTTTCGCCGCTACTCGCTATTTGATGTCCCCTGTGCGGGCGCGGGTTGCGGGAAATTCCACTGAAGAGCATCATTGGAATGGCTTTCTTTTTCTGTTTATGTTTTTTTTATTTAATTTTGACGCACGTGAAAGCGCGATCTAACACCAACTTACGAGTTGTTTGCAGGGCCACGGCAGGGCCAACAAAGGTACGCTGCGTGAGTGTGTGGCTCTGCGGAATGCTTCATATTTCGCGAGCAATCGCGGGTAAAATGCACACCTTTCGAAAAATGCCACGCCTTTGCGCGGCATGCCTTTGCAAACACTGCACGCATCCCCCCGTCCCCTTATTTATACATAAAGGTTGCATTTTGGCTATCTAATTTAAGAGCGCGATTCGGATTGTTTTGAAGACTTATTTGAATCGTCTTTGCGGGATCTCATCGTTCAACTTAAACAGCGATATGAGCATTTGTCTGGCATATATATTTTTTTCTTTTTATCGTGAGAATGTGGGTAATCCCGCTTAAAATTTAAAACACTTGCGAAAAAAACATCGCACAAATTTTTATAACACAAGGAAAATAGTTTCTCGAATTTTCTTGTGAGACAGAACACGCAATCGTGCAGACATTAAAAAAATATACTTTCGAGGAAATCTTTTTTTTTTTTTTTCGATTTTCTCGTAGTGAATATCTGTAGTCGATGCTCGCGTTCTTCTCTAACTTCTAATCACAGCCTTTCCTCCGTTCACTTTTCTGTCCCTTATGAAGCATGAGCTGTGAGAGCGAGCGCAACGTTGCGAGGTGGAGCTGAGGATCGTAGCTCTCTCGGTCGGCCAACGTTGTCGGAGGGAGAGAGTACCGCTTAGTCAGCGAGACCTACCAAGAATTTATCCGCGCACTTCAGTAGATATATACACCCGAGGCGCCCGGTAACAGCCGCAAGCTTTCTCGAACAACGTCACTCGTGTAGGTGATCGGATATCATAGTGCCTGCGAATGCGTCCACTACGTGAGCCGGTGTGGCCTTCTCCTAGGGACGGGGCGACAACGTGTCTAGCTAACAACACGTCAATCTTGGCGCTACTTCTACGTTCAATATAAGTTTCTTCTGATTTTTTTTTACCGAGTTGTGGCTGCCCAACACGCATTTAAAGGTTCTTTTGGGGGTTTGTTTGTGTTTGTACGTTCAATTCCAACACCTTTGGAAAGTTAATTTCGTGTTTACTTGAGAGTAACATAAACAAAGCTGCTTCCACAGCGAGCAGCTTTGTTAAAGAAAGAGAGAGAGAGAGGGATAGAGCGAGAGGGACGGAAAACTATAGGGCGCTGCCACCGAAGGTTCGCGTTTTCTGTTGCACTCACAACTTTCCCCTCAGACATTTTACAAATTTTCCTCATAGCCAGCGTTCGGTTGGGCAACCTAATGAAGATAGAATTACGCCAAATAAAACACAAACGCGGTTGCGCGATACGCAAAAAAAAAAAGTATATATATATATATATATATATATATCGTAAAAAGGAGGCAAATGCTTTAAAACGTATTTATTAGACGTCGTTCCGAGCGGGGACCGCTCTTCATCAGGTTATATATATATATATATATATATATAGTGAGATATATAAAGAACGTTCGGGTGGGGCGCAATAATACGACTATACTAATCGGGAATACCCGCGGCATACGTATGTGTTTTCGAAGCGACTTGAGTTACGTGAACCTTTTTTCCAGTGAAGGCCACCAACAGCTCAGCTCCGTACTGAGTCGCCAAACGTTTCGGACATTGTACCTTATTTTTCATCATTTATCAGATGGCCAAAGAGTTAATTTGTTTTTGGTCACATCATTTTACCGTTCCCCTCTCGGAGCCGTCACTCCTTCCTTATGTAGAAAAGACCCACAGCCTGCGAGCAAACCAAAGGGCGCACAAGAAAACATCCAAAGATTGCACACAAACGCTTTGTGGCGTTTCTGTGCAATCACTTCTGCATAAAAAAAAATTGTTAGCAATTGCACAACGCCTGGCAAACTATCCCTCTACACTGGAGATACAGCCGAGACACCAGATGCCAAGGCAGAGAAATTTCTATTCGCAACTTCTAAACTTTTAAGAGAAAAAGTGAGTGCGATGCTCGAGTTTATTATCCACCGTAAGCTCTTGTTCGTCTTCTTGCTCCTGGAGGTCAATGGAACTGTTTTTTGTTGGTGGGCCCTCCGAGGCTTTCGCCAGTCACCCGGATGGAAGTCTCGTTTTACGGTATTTTGCCACCTTCAATTAACATGTTCGCGCCTTTCAGCTACTTTAAAAAAAAAAAAAAAAAAACTTAGCAATGTCAGAACTGTAATAGAGTATGGGATATTGTTTTTTTTTTTTTTACTTCGGTAATTTTGTGCCTATATCGTGAGTGTTTGATGTGTGTGTGTGGATGTGTTTCTTTTTCGTCCCTATTGCGATGCAGTACCGCGGTGAACATCGATGAATAAACATAAACAAACAGACGCTAAACCGCTTGTGACGACTGCTCTAATAAAACAGTAAAAAAATAGCCTTCTGCGCGATGCCTATCTTTGTCTGCTGGGCTGTGGAACGCCTTCTGAACATGCGCTGTTGCTCTGCTGTGCGGTAAATCCGACGCTGTGCATGCGTCCACAGCTCAATGACTCGGCATTTTTCGCCCGGATGATAAGCGATTCCAGAAGTCTGCATGCACACTGCCGATAAAAAAAAAAAAGTGCATCGTCAGTGCACTCGTCGTCTTCGTACAACACCCGGCTGAACCAGAGCAGCCACGCGCAGTCAGTGACTCCAGTTCTTGCGCTTTTTTTTCTTCTTTTTTTTTTTGTCTGTGCGTGATCGACTTAGCTGCGGATAGAAGTCGCCCAAAGAAAATGAGAAGCGGCTGTGAAATGCACTTTTGGAGGCCCCTGACTGGCTCCGTCGAATTGTAGCGTCGGCTACGGTCGGATTTAATATAAAACGGAGTATGGCAGAATACTTCACAATTTGAGGAGAAAAAAAAAGTTGGCAAGATTCTCTTTCTGTTTTGGAAGCTCCACCACACCACAAACTCCTCCCCGATGGATTTTAGCGAGCTCGGCTCAGCGTTCCCTATGCGGGGAGCAAGTCGTCTGCTTCTTGCGGAAGAGTTGCGGTGGCTTCAGAACGACGCCGACCTTTTATTGGCGGATTTTAAAGAAGAAGAAGAAATAGTGGGTAGTCATCAATGCTAGGTACCTTAAAGTCTACCCACTATTTTTTTTTTTTCGATCAGCCAATAAGAGCTCGGCGTTCTGACATCATCGAAACCCCTGAGAAAGAAGCAGACGACTTGCTGTCCGCATACAGCCCGCGGCCTCCGGCTTTCACGCTACACTGAGATCTCTAATGCAGACAAACGACAGCCACCATCAGTCTACTGAGATTGGGAGTTCCGACGTTAATCCACGCGTGGAATGATGAAAATAAAAAGAAAAAGAAGAAAAGCTCGGCGAAGGCAACCTTCGTTTCGCTCTGAACGAGGAAGTGGGCGCCGCGCCAGCTGCTGCCTGCCGCCAAGCACACTCTCCGATTCTCTTCGAAACACGGGACTCGCGGAGAAGAAGAGAAGTTATACGCTCTGTGCACATTCCCGCTTCGTCGCGTGACGAAAGCGCGTGACAAAGATCGCCGGTCAACACGGCGACCGTCTGCTGAACTGATACCGCGTCGTGACGGTACGCGCTGTGTCGCGAATGTACACCTTTTATTTTATATATATATATATAACGTGATAATAGGAAAAGAAACGACTTTGCGCACATAACCAATGAAAGGAAGGCATAGTACGATGCACTGAGCGAACTGGGGAACGGAAAGCGTTCGTATAAAAGGTTGCGAAAGCTTCTTCTCTAGTGTGTAAGGCTCATGACGTTTTCAAAGTACCAGTCGGAGTCGTTTGGAAACTGTCAAGATGGGAACTAAGAAGGAACCCGATGCGCCTGCTATCTATGCCTCGGCGCGAATGGAGTTACTGTACAACCCGTAAAAAACGAGGGTGTTAAACTGTCTCTCGAATGCAATGAAAAAGAAAATACATTTCTGGTGATTGAAAAGAATAGTGGTGAGGGACTCCTAATTTGAGTCAATGTTACTGATCTTCCTGATTCTTCGCGGAGTTTCCGGGTCACCGAGACTGGTGCTAAACAAACCGATAGAAAGCTTGTGCACTTGAAAATAACATCTTGATGTATTTAGGAAGGAGATAACCTCCTCTGTGACCACGCGAAAAGAAAAAAAACAAACGGAGCAAAAACAAAACAAAAAAAATCGATCGTAAGTCACTCTGGTATTGCGGTAAATCTGGGCCAATCATTTGTGTGCATAAGTGTTCCATTAAACACCAACCGAAAGCTCAACTGTTATCGAAGTAGTATCGAGGGTACCATGTTTGCGTTACTACAGAATACATACTGAAAGGCTAAGAGTCTCCTAGCGCGTTTCGGTTGCGCGTCATTGCGGTGCTTCAAATTGTTTTCGAGGATGCTAAGCTGGTAGAATTTCAATGGTGGATAAAAAAAAGTATTGGGAAAGGACAACAAGAACAAAAATAAGTACTAATTCTTACAATCTCAGTGCAGCGCTGTGAAAAGCACAGACTCGCGAGCGTAGCTCTATACGGCGTTTTGCTTGCACGATAATTCACGAGACAGGATCTTCGTTTTCACGAGGTCTTGAAAGTTCTTCTAAAGTGACAGTGCTTGTCCCAACGGTGCACATGACTTCTGACACTGTGTATAATACGACTACAAGCATGCAAGACGTGCTGGCAGCTTCTATGTTTCTTCTCATCGAAACAAGCAAGCACGTGCAGTTAGAAGCTTGTCAAAGCTACACGCCAGTTCAAGTCAAGCGTGTTCGTGTCATAGACCAATCATCTGCCCTATAACACTCTGCGTGTAATCCCGCGTATAGTGTGCCCGCCAACGGTCGAAGCACCATCAAAGGTAAGGGGGACTCTGGTCAAAGATTGAACGTTCGAAAAAGGCGTCTCGGTCACGTCGAACTTGTCAAGGGACCCTAATGGCAGCGGACGCTCCTTGGCAGGACACACAAAGCGCAAGTTCCGTGCCCCTACAACAGTCGGGGGAGGCGGCGACCGGCAGAGGCTTCCTGCCGTCCTTGCGGTGAGGCGGCCGCACTCACCGGTGACCCTGAGTCCCGCGAAGCGCTGGAAGTCCTTGACGGCGTCCACAAGAGCCTGCTGGGACCGCAACGCCGCCGTGCCGTTCCGAGGAGGGGCGATGTACCCAAACTTCTCCAGGTAGTCCTGCGCCACAAAGCACACAACGCTCGTTGCACATCTACAACGGACATGACTGCGCGGAGACAGCGGACACTGCTAACTAAGAGGCAGCGATGTCAACGTGATTTGTTTTTTCTAGGCATGTGCGAAGGGTGGATTTTGAGTTCGAAGCGAATTCGAAGCGAATAGTGGTTTTGGTCGAATATTGCCGAATCGAATATAAAATAGTTATTCAAAGTCTTTCAATACCATGCACAATGCTTGAACGAAACGTCAGCTGTACTTGTGAAGGTTGTTTCCTACCTTCACCTTGTCCAATTAAGCTCAGTTAATTTTTATATAGGTATATGAACTGGGGCATGTAAACGACAAATTTGTCGCAGCTATCCTAATCGAAGGGATTCATACATATGCTCGCTCTATTGCAAATATTCTTACTTCTATTTCAAATATGACAACAACAAAAGAGAAGAAAACAAGCACGAATGATGAGCGCGGGCTCTCAAGTGATCGCTGCCAAACTTCTATACATCCTAAAACAATCCCGTGCATCTACTTTCCCGCACAACACTCGGAGAGCCAATCAGCGCAACTTACGGAGGCAGCTCAGCGAATGACGATAGCGAAACATATGTTTAGGCCAAAAAGCGCAGTCTGATTTGTGACATTAAGCCATGCAAAACGTCACACTTGCATTGCATAATGTCACAACTCAGACTGCGTTTTTTGGTATAAACATATGTTCGGCATTGTCATTCGCTGAGCTGCCTCTGTAAGTTGCGGTGATTGGCTCTCTGAGTGTTGTGCGGGAAAGTAGACGCACGGGCTTTTCTTAAGGAGTATACTCTTGCGTAATCGCGGCGGGTTAGTCCTGTTGAGTGCGCTTCCCATTGAGCACAGGTGAACTGCGGAAAAGCAATACCCGCGGATCCCGAGAGCTCCGCGAGTATTGCTTTCCCGCAGTTCAGCTGTGCTCGGTGAGAAGAGCACTCAACGAGGCTGACCCGCCGCGATCAACACTTATTAGTACGAATATCGCTGTCCATCTCTAAGCGCATATCGAATAGCGTATTATTCGAGATCACCATTTGAAAATTCAAATATTCGCACAAAGTCGCATTTTCTAGTCGCCATTATACGCTATTCGAGATCACCATTTGAAAATTCAAATATTCGCACAAAGTCGCATTTTCTAATCGCCATTATTCGAGGTACACTTTCGAGGGTCAACGTCCCGAGGATGCCCGAAAGTATTTCTACACGTCACAGAAAATCTCGTCGTTCAACAGCCTATATGGTCACTGACAGCTGAATAAATACAGGGCGTGGCCTATTATTATAATCACTCGTTTTGCTTCGTGATTGGTTCTTCAACGTTCTCGTCGGCCGATTCTGCACCCTGATTGGATGCGGGGTGATAATGAGATGTTCGGGCCTTGCGGTACGCCCTGCGTTTCTTAGGCTGAAAGTTACTGTGAGTCTCTGCATGGTCGCCGTGACAAAGTGTGATACTTCTCCGAAGTTTTCGGACAAAGAACCCTTAGCTCGAACGAGAGGAAAGCGAATTTTCATATTGTTAAAAATACACATTTTTTAATGCAAACAAACAGCAAGACAGCGTATTAAGTGCACAACTCCTTCTGATTCAGCGTGAAGTTGAGGAGGTATGGTTGCGCCGATGTTGAGAATGTCTGGAGTTCTTGGTGCGCTCATGCTTCACCTTGTATAATTAGAGGGAGTATAGGTTCTGAAAATGCCACAAACGCCGATTTATTGCGATAAGGCTGCCCCTTCTTAACACAGACGGTGGGAACGTCATACCGCAGCGCGAACCGTCGCTAAATCTCGGCTTATAATCTGACCTTCAAAATTCTGCTCAAGTAGTTCGGGCTTGGCCGTCTGCAACCATCCGACATTCCAAGACTTTGACTACATCCGAGCGAATAAACATATTTCGTTGATGGCTTTTTTTTTTATTTTACTATTCATACGGGTACAGACTATATAAATATCGGCGGAATGCATTTACGGTTCTGACTAGTTCTGCCTATAAACGAAGAAAAATTAAACGCACGTGTTTGTTTTCGCGACCGGGAGGTCTTCACGTAGAAGTAAAAACGCGTCTGGCATACAACTCGGCTAAACGACAGAAACGAAAGAAAATGACATGCTTAGCGTACCAGTTTTTTTTTTTTTTTTGGAGGGCAATTTTTTTAATTTCTACATTTGTGCGTTTCGATATGGTCACTTCATTCTTTCTCGGATCCTTTGAATGCCACAGATCACGCAACCACCACAGGAAAGAGAGAGAGAGAGAAGAGAAAGAGACATAGAGAGAAAACTTTCGTCAGTTTCTCGTACATTAAGACCTAGTATATTTTTCGGGCTTGTCTATGATGTGGCCGACTTTATCTGCTATTCAATGAGGCAAATATAAAACTGTCTTTTTTGGTTATTAGTGAACGTTCATATCAGATAAGTGATCAACGCCAACTGAAACAGTGCTATACATGGGCAAGCTGAACACGCTTTCCTTTCAATTGTAGAAGTACGATATTGGGAACTAGGCAGGTTTCTAGATACACGCGCCCTGTGTCCTAAAAGCTATATTTCTGCTCTAATTCGCTTCGAGCTTGCTATCAGAAATAAAGGTAAGAAAACAGAGACAACATTTAAGTTGATCCAGGCATCGGTCGACGTACATCTGAAAATTGTATCTGTGTCCTGGAATCTCCCCTCTACAGACAATATTAAGAGTTTGACACGAGCAGAACATTTTTTGACCCATGAGTTGCTAAAAGTAAGCGATCCCATTCAGTGACCCAAAGCAAAGTTCAAGAACCTTACATTATCGATGACGTCGAAAGAACGTGGAGCAGCAAGATGCATAATGACCTTTTTGCGATGGTTGTTCCAGCATAGTGTTACTCTTACAGTAAAAGAAGAATGATTTACACGGAAGTAACGGAAAAAAAGAAAGAAATATTTGCTCGAGTAGTTTTGAAGTTGCGAAACCATCCTTCCAAGTTGCGTATTCAGCCCACGCCAACTTACAGCGCAATCAATTGAAGCGGTGGCTACTGTGAGGTCTTCATCGTGACTTTACTTGGTTAAGTAGAGTTTTATATCCCCAAGCTAGTATATAAAAAAAAAAAAGAGAAAAATAACGCAGAAATAATTATTACGAGGGGGTAAGCTGAAAAAAATTGCGTTATTATCACAATAACACCCACGATGACGCTTTCTTTTTGCCTCCAAACATTTTGTACAAACGTCCCATGCATCTCAGTACACGCCTCGCGTTTCTTGGCTTGTCGGTGACCACGCATAAAGTTGCGCGAGGGCCTTAAATTCTCGTGAGATGTTCACTATATAACTCGCAGAATAGTGTCCCTAAACAATGAACGACAATCTAATCACCCGAGACAAAACAAAAAGAGTCAACTATAGTCATTGACACTTTAAGAAACGCAGGACGTCGACAGTCCCAAGAATCTTGTCATGAATCACAAAGCGGGAACCGAGCGCTATTTAGGTTGTCGGTGACCATGCAAACCACCGTAGGCGTCGTCACTCTCCTTCCCAGCTGCGTGCACCTGTACTGGGTTCCTTGCACCCGCCTATACTATTCTTCCATGTTAATCCGCCCATAACAAAGGAGCCGAGGATCTGACCCAATGTAGTCCGCCCCCCTTGTTCTCAGTAATTGAGAGGCGTGGTCCCGCGCCCAGCTGCCTCAACTGATTACTGAGATTGTTCACATTCCTCCCCTAAACACTGGCCAGCTTTTTTTTTTTTTTTTTTTTTTTTTTTTTGTTGTAATGCAGCTAGACCTTCACTCGCGTCAACTGCCAAGATTGCACTATGAATCGAAAACGAGCGACCGGGGGAAACCCTCTTCGGAGAGCCAAGAAGCCGCTGAAAAATAAACGAGTCCCTTTCGATTGCCTCGTTTTATTTTGTTTGTTTTTCTCGCGAGGTTGACCGGTCGGTTTTTAGTGTGGTTTTTCTCCGAACGTCTAACGTTAGACACGTGCCTCCGTTGAATGCAGATGTTGTCTAATGGGAACTTCCCTGCGCCCCCGAGGTCACTTGACCGAAGCGGCCAACAAACTTTCTGGAGAAAAGTCAAAGCAAAATAAATGCAAATTGCGAAGGATCCGTTCCAGTAATCTTCAAAGTGAGCGTTACTAGCTGCCCAGTAATCTCATGGAACGGACGAAGGATGGTATATCATGGTACAGACTGCAGTTACCAAATGTTCGTTATTAGGGAGATTGCATTTTTGGTTGGTCACGAGAGGCTTCGATCAGTTTGTACACTGTAATCAGCTCCGAGTTGTATGATGATGCTTGGAGGGCATTGTTTCACAGGGAAGCGAACAATAACACAGCGTGCCTTTTTTCTTGGCTAAACTGCAAGGTTGATCGTATATCCTCCTTAATTAAGTTTTCTGGGTAAGTGCTTGGACACGCCTGCTTACTGGCAAGTCTCAACGAATTTACCCACTTCTTTGGTAGCAGCAATTAGAGACTGCCCTTATTGAAACAAAAGACGTGAAACTGTAAGCACAAATTGTTTAACGATCAAGATAGGCGACAAAAAAAACATTGTTTTTTTAGAATAAGTAATTGAAGCAGCCTTTTGTTAACATCAACGCGGACAATAGACAAGCTTGGTAGACGTTTTTTTTTTTTTCCATAATTTTCTTGCATTTAAGATGTCGCTAGCGTTGTCTGCGCGTTCCGGATCTTGTAGCTGGAAAACGATCTACTAAAACCCCCTTGCTACCTTGATAAATCCTTTGAGGCACAGGAATAGCATGCCACTGCTGGCCTCCTTTGAAGGCCACGACTTAGATTCTGAAGACGACTACAAGCAACTGAAGCAGCAGCCTCCACTTATCGATTCCTTTGATTCGTTATGAAATTCATCAGTCTTGAGTGGTTTGGTGCTTAGTTTTAACGAGAAAAAACGTTAGAGCACAAAGAAACGGGTTCGCTCAAGCTTGTTTTAAGTCTCAAGGGCACGTAGAAGTTCCAAGTAATATTGAAGGTAGAGGTTGTTAGTTAGCAATGATTATCAGGCTCCCAATTGTTTCAAGGATGCCCCGAGGAAAATGTTTACACAAGTGGAATAGAAAAAAAGAAGAGGTCAACCTTGGTCAACACGCATGTCTGCCACTTTGTACAGGGGAAGAGAACTAACGAAGTGAAAGAAACTAAATATTTAACAGCCGTAGAGCGAAGGGTGTTTCAAAGAAGGTGGTAATGATTATCTGCGGTTCAAAGAAAATAAGTGGTAACTGCAGAGGAGCTTCGTTTTTCTAGTTACTCCAAGTTTCAAAGATAGCAGAAAGTAGACAGTGCTAGTTGTTAGTACCGCAAGTCAAAAAGGAAATTTGCAGTGCATTGAGGGGCGAATACAAAGAATAAAAAGGCGAAGCAGGTCAAGTATGAAATCCCAAGATGTACATTCACCCCAGCGTTTTGCAGGTTCAAAGCACGACTAAACTCCCGATTGTTTCAAGAGAGATCAAAGGGAAACGGCAAGCCGAAAGGATGAAAAGTTACGCAAGAGAGAGAGAGCGAGAGAGCTTGATCGAGGGTCCTTTATGTCATAGACAAAGACAGGCGCTGGCAGACGCCTCTCGGCCATGGTCAGCCAAGGCCGATCGAGACACGCGGCTGACACGGACAAAAGAAGGCGTCCGGAACCCGGGAGGACAAGGCCGGCCGTTCGCAGCTGAACACACATCGACCTGGAGATAGCGACGGCGCACACAGAAGCCAGCGGCAACGTTCCGACTTCACGGGCGCGAAAGATCGAGGGTCGTTTAGGCCTTAGGGAATGACGTGCTTTGGCTTCGGCAGCGTGCATGCCTCATTGCAGGGCTCTACGTTCCCGTTAATTTGAAGACCGGTATTGGGGAGAAGATCAAACAATCGCGCCTCTAGCAATGAAAGGGGGCATGAAACGATTTTTTACTTACGCTAAATACTACTTAGAATCACCCCCTAACGTTAATAACTGAATAAACTTTCCTTAGTCTTTCTTTCTAAGCACTGACAGTCTCCGAAAAAAAAAAAAAAAAAAAATCGAGAAATATGAGCATGGTTTATCCCCTCAACTCGAAGCCAGAAGACGAGGTCACGTGGCCTGGTGCCTATCCTATGCCACCAACGTTAATCATAGCCACGCGCAGGGGTTGGCGAAGTAGAAAACGCGTGTTGATCTCCAGGCATTGTTAGAGTTCGTCTATCCTTATCACCGCAGTGGTTAGACACGAGCCACTACCCGAGTGTCCGCCGAGGCATTAGCTGTTACTAGCCGAAGTCGAGTTCTCACGCAGTTTTTGTGTCCAATACATGAGCCCTCCTCGACTGTCGTCAGGCGGGTGGTTCCGATCCCAGAATTACGTCATCAATCTCTGCGAAGGCAAGACTAAAAGAAATAGTCCCCTTTTATCCTCGCAACTTCACCGCAACAAAGAAGCTTCTGAATCAGTGGCGGTCTGTGCGAGTATACTTGGGCCAGACCACCTTTGCTAAGGACGCCAAAGCGAGCATAGCGGTGTGCATCGTTAGGCTCGGCACGGTGTGAGCGAGGGTGAGCGAAGGCGGTCAAGGTAAACCTTTAACATCACGTGCGAATCAAGGCAAAGTTAAAAGAACCGAAGTGTGTTGTTGTGAAGCGAATGATGACAGCAAGCTTCCACAACGTTCGTTTCCCACTGTCAAAAATGCCACTCCTCTCACTATTTACAAAGGTGCAGACAACTCCAGCGAAGGCAACCTAACTCGACCTATTGATCACATGAGCACAGCGTGACGCCTGGAGAGAGAGAGACACTATCTCTTGCTGGCGGTGTCAAAGAAGGAAGCAGGTATTTCGCCTTCCAGTACTTTGTTGGGCCAATGTCTACATTCGTAGCGTAGTCTTCATTTATAATATTTTACGTTTCTCATCTCAATTTTTTTTTTTAATTTTAATTTTTTTATGAACTGCTCTTTATTATGGAATATCGTGAGAAGGTTATTTGGATTGATAGTGTCGATAAAAGTGGCACGTTTCCAGAATGCTTCTCCCTCCCCTGTTTGTGGAGAGATAGAAAATTGCTATCAGGAAGTTACGGGTAAATTTTTCATAGGTGCCTTTCAGATTGACGTCAAACCTGGCAACCAAGAACGTCGTTTGAGAAGCCAATTGCGCAGATTTCTTCGCTGGTTTCGCGCCCATAAGATTAATATTCTCTGCACGCTCAAGATAACGGAAGCGCATAGAAATACATTGCACGCAATGCATTCAGTGACCGTATAAAGTCATGTTGGCGCCGTTCACAACCCCCCCCCCCCCCCCCAAAAAAAAAAATAAATAAATAAATAAAAAACAATAAATTTTATAAAAGTAAACGAAGGAATGTGCTTCTGAACAGGTGGTTCTGCTGAAAGTGGTCGGAACTGCTACAAACCTGCTTTTGTTATGTTGGCGATAGGATTTTTTTTTTCGTTCAGTTAGTTACTGACAAGATGAGAACAGACGGGAGGAGTCTCAGTTATTTCGCCCAAAGAGCAAGCTTTTTACCTTCGATGACGCTTCCGCTTCGACGCCTCGAGAGCCTCTAGCTTGCAAGCACGGTCAACGCAAAGTAGAAGGCAACGAGTGCGTGTTGCAGGTCGGGCGTTAAAAAGAGACGCCTTAACGCCTTCACCTTGTTGGTGAATGAAGTTCAAGAGTAAACCGTTAGCCAGCACCACAGAGCTCGAACCCATCTAACTTGAACATTCCTTATTTTCTACAAAGGTTCTACCTTTGTAGAAAACAAAGGTTCTAGCTAGAACAAAGGTTCCAACGATAGATCCCGCCATCCGCGCCACCACCTCCAAAGAAAACAACACTCCACGAGTTTTCAACCGCCACCGCCCTTCATCCCTGGAGAGACGGTGAAAACAAAATGTCTTACAATCATCTTTGCTCCTACGTATACGGAGTTGTCACGTGACCTGCTGGATGATGTCGATGGGCGCCGCGCTGCTGGCCGATTGCTGCGCGCAAGTTTGTGTCGCCGAGTGTGCTGAAAGTCAGAAGCGAGGCAGAAAGCCAGGGTGAAGAGCAAGCAGGGAACACAAGCACGGGGAAAACACAATCATGCACGCGGAATGAACTCGCCCAGGCCATTAAAAAAAAAAATGCTACTTGTAATCAATATCTGCCTCCTACTTTTTCTTTCTTTTTTTTTCTCTGGAGGAAAAGTGAAATTGTCCACCTAAATGTACTTTCCTTAAACCGTGGGTCTCTCAATGCGAATTATTTACGACTGACAATAATGAATACACGCACAAAAAGAATTGTATTTCAAGTTAAAAATCTTTCAGCCTTTCCACTCTGGTGAATAAGGCAAGCCAGCGGAGCTGTACAATGGAAAGTAATGACCGGCCGCAAGTCGGCAAGCCAGAGTGGAAAGGCTGCCGCCATCTATGAGCGACGGCGGAAACCAAATACTTGGCTTGCCGCCGTGGCTCATAGATGGCGGTAGGTGTCCAGAGTTCGGTGTCTTCATTTCCTTGCGGGGGACACGATTCTGGGAAAACTAACCCTTAACAGCTCCGCTGTAAAAAAATATATTGCGTGCATCAAGCTGAAGTAAGAGTGCTTCGCATATATCACACAAAAGACACGGTGTTCGGTGCATGACACGATGACCGCAGAAGCATCTGCATGCGGACACGCCTCAAGCAGATTCGAAGAATGCAATGTATGCAAACAGTTTTTTTATGACCAATGTAACGAGACCGTCACACAAGGACGGAACATGCTTCAGACAGCGTCTGCATACTGTTTTTTTGCATGATGTATAACAAACAAACAACAGTCGCAATCCCACCTTCTAAACCTGCTACCGACGTACTACTACCGATTACCGAGCAATTTCTCGTATGCTTCGTTTCACCATATGTCCGGGCGTAGCTGTCGTGCTACCAGCTGATTGGACTAAAAGGGCCACGTCATGGAATTTGTCACCTTTTTTTTTTTCTGTACGAGTTGCATCATATAAAACCAATCATGTACAGGGAAGACCATGTGACTGGCGCTTTTAGTATGCGTTCGCGGTTGAATGTGTCTGAGCATTCGGCTGCGTTTGGACATAGGAGGAAACAAAGTATACGAGGTGTGATCCTGAAGTTTCGAGGCTGATTTTGTAGCGTAAAAGAAGAGGGCAACGCAGTGACACGCGCGCAGCAGTCGAAAGAAAGGATCTTCGTGTCTCGTTATAACCAAGTGCGTCGCCCTGTGAATATTTTAGAGCTGCGCTGCACGAGTTTTTGTGACCACGTGAACGGGCACAATAACGATTTCATCATAGACTGCAAATCAGAGCGAGAGCGAACATCAATTCTGCGTCAAAATCGGCAAAAAAAAAAAAAGGAGACTTATGAAATTTTTCAGCAGGCTTGTGTCAAAAAACAGTAAATTTTGCTAAGTATTTTAAGTGGCACTCGCGCTTCAGGAACGGCACAACGTCACTGGAAGGCCAAGAGCGGTAGGGCGACCTTCTCCGACCTCTCCTTCACTTTAGTGACGTTCTGCCATTTTTGAAGCGCGAGTGCCACTCAGAACACCTCGCACACCTCACTGCTTTTTGACGTAAGCCTATTTTAAATCATTTCAGGGGTCTCTGTTTTAGATTTGCCGAGTTTGACGTAAAATTGATGTTCGCTCTCGCTTTGGTTTGCAGTGTATGCTGAGGTTGCTATAATGCTCGTGCATGGGGTCAAGCAAACTCGTGTGGCGCAGTTTAAATGTTCACAGAACGACGCCCCTTTGACATAATGACGCAGGAAGGCCCCTGCCTTCGACGGCTGCACTGTGCTGCCCTCTCTTTTTACGCTACAAGATTAGACCTAAAACTTTTTGATCGCACCTCGTAGGTACGGAATAAATGAAAACATTTCTATAAAAAGAAATGCGCTAAGGCACCGGGCTGAACGATAAGGAGGGAAAGAGGGACAGGACATGGAAGACAGAGAAACTAACCTCTGTGCTTGGGGAGAGGCCCGGGATATAGCTTTAAAGGGATACTGAAGCGAAACTTGAAATACACCTATTATGGTCAGAAATAGGTTCAATATGATCAATGATATTCATAAATCATAATCGCGCGTTTGTATTTTGAACGGATGGCTATATTTTTCACCCTGATGGGCCCGATTGGGCGCGCGCTCAAAAATCGGCCATCGGAGAGCGCGATGCGTCTTGGGATATTCGTGACGTCACTTGTGCCGGTCGGGAAAGGCTACGGCGTGAATGTTGTGGTTACGAGCGTTGCCACTTGGTGGCGCGTCGACGATTTACGACCTGTGACAACGTGGCCGTTTGAGATGTGCAAGGGCTGCACGCACGCTGCACCACGGGACCACAGCAAGTCGGCAACCACGGCAGCACTGACAAAACCAGCTCTGAGGCCGGATTCTCAAAGCGAATTCACGACGAAAAAAGTGCGTACGACAAATTTGAGAGAAAACCCGTGCTCTCGAAACGAAATTGTCGTAACCTTTGCGCAGGTTACGACAGAATCCTACGACAGCTCCGAAGCTGTCTTACGCACTTTTTACGATCAAATCAACAAGGCCGACAGCGTCGCTCAGTTACTTGGTATCGGCCACCAACAGACATTTATTTTTCTTCGTGCTCTTCTCGTGCGTCCCGACTTCAACCAGCAAGAAAAAAGGAAGGAGTACTTAAAACAGACCACGACGATCAAGAACGCAGGATCCACAAACACACGAGAAGAGCTACAACAGCCACGATTCTGCCGACCGAGCGAGCTCGGCAGAATATAGTAGGCCTAGCAGCAACATCGACTCGGCGCATCGTTGCTCCGGCGGTCCTTGGCCAAGACCGTCTGTCCATGACCGGCTGGCCTGCTGAATGGAATATGCCCGCGCGACCCTTGTGGACCCTTACCGGATGAGTAGTTTGATCCCTGAACTAAATTTCAGAGGTCAATATTTTCCCCTTGTCATCTCGATCTCCTTGTTTTCCGAGACAGCGGTGACGAACGCTGTCGTCGAAAAGGGACTCTCATTGATTCTATCTCCTTGTTTTGTGTGATATAGAGCTCAAATAAACGCCATACGGATTACCTTGGCAACTCGGTATGTACACTCTGTTATTAGTATGCCATTTTTATTCTGACTCGACGCTACGTCAGTGTCGAGCTATAGCAGTTCGTGGGAGCTACGCGATGTCGGTCTAATTTTTCTTTGCCGAGTGTCATGTCAGTATCGAGTTGCAATCGTAAAAGATCGGTCCAGAAGCGCTTACCGAAACGCGGTCTAACAGAGCGAATCCAGCACTTCGATCAAACGCGCGTGTCCGCTCCGAGTGTGAACAGGTATTTGTGTGGCTCTTGCTGACACCCTCGTAGAGGAGGCTATGTTCAAACATATCCTTTTTAACGTCGGCTCGCAGCTCGCGACTCGCAGCAACTGCCGTGCCAGAAGCATGCTCGGGTCGTGTCGTGCAAAGCCGCAACGAGAACGAGCTCACTGTGGCCAACTACGCTTTGGCTTTCTCCGCCAAGGCTTTGCGAACGCGTTCAGGCCTAGGCGAATCCTGCCGGCACGCCGTATTGCCGCAGAACGGCGCTGCTATTTTGGCACAAGTGATGTCACGAGAACTTCCCCCCATCCACCAGATGAGAATTTGAAATCGTTTAATTATGTTTAAATTTAGTTCTCCTGTGTTTTACAGCGCAATATTTATATTTCCGAGGTGGTGCCTGTCCCTAGCCCATATTTATGCAACAAGATCGGCGCTAAAATTTCGTTTCACTACCCCTTTAAAGCGGGGATAGCTGAAGCGCTTCCATTGTGCTCGCATGCTCACTAGAGAGTTCTAGTAGATCGTTCCGATACCTTCGCTAATAATGAGTTTTAGGAGCTTGTAGCGGTATACCTCCGATAACAATAGCCGATGCTCCAATGACGTCTTTGCAAATGCATCGTATCGTTATTATGTGTCGTTATGGGTGTTACCGTAACGATCTACTAAAACTCCCTAATGATACCCGACAAGGATACGACGCGTGCGCAAAGGCGCCGGTGACTTTACCTTCCTGCAGAACACTAAGAAGCCAATCACGGCAAACAATAGAAAGATACCAACTAATGACAAAGCTGATAATACTGAAAGATTAAAAAAAGGTGATCTTCACAGGAACAAAGAACAAGTGAAACGTCATGCTCACTGTTCATGAGCACATCGCCCCTTTTTGGTGTCTAGCTGTATCATCCGTTTCGTGATTCGCTGAGATGTTTTTACTGTTCACCGTGATTCGCTGTCGCTTGTTCCACGGGAAAGTGAACGCAATACCCTTTTCTTTTTGGAGTGCAGTGCTTGCAGTGCAGAGCGTCAAACGTCAGATTAATTTCAAAAGAGTCGATTGAGAGCCTTTTTATATCGAACAAGTATGGAATGTTCAGCACGAGTTGACCAAATGTCCAGTGGTCATCCACCACCCTCTAAATGTTCAAAGTTTACGTGCAGGGTTTTTTTCGAACCTACCGCGCGACGAGGTGAAAATAACAAACAATATATGAGGGTAAAAGCTTAAGCGGGAGTGGCCGAAAGTGGAAATGGAGGAAGCCCAGCAAACAAAAGCTCCAGAATCAAACAAGAGGACAGTAGCAACGGCAACAGGCCGATGAAAAGACGACCTTCGTCGGCCCTAGACAAAAGGAGCAAAAGCCCAAGAGAAAACAAACAAAGCAGCGTAGAAGCGCGCCGTCGTTCCGCCGAGAATCGTGCCTGCCGACGAACGACAAAGGAGGAGGCGGGCTGAGTGAGCACAGCAGGGTATGCACCCTTGATGCTGAAGAAGAGGAGCACTGCGGCGGATGACGTGGCCTTGAACCCTACCCCGGGACGCTTGACTCGCCTCAGAGGCGAAACCATTCGCCCGAGTTTACCTCTCATTTTTTTGTATTACTTTTTCTTCTTTTTTTTTTTTATTTTATAGTGACTGTAGAAAACAGGGGAAACTCCCACCCTGCTCGCTCTTTTGACGACCTC